CAATGGTCTCTCTCACTGGTCTCCAATCTCACTGGTCTCTCTCACTGGGTCTCTCTCTGGTCTCCCTCTGGTCTCTCTCTGAGTCTCCCTCTGGTCTGACTCTCTCACTGGTCTCTCTGTCTCTCCCTGTCTCTCGCTCTGGTCGCTCTCATCTGGTCTCTCTCACCAGTCTCTCTCGGTCACTCTCTGGTCTCTCACTGTTCTCTCTCTGGTCTCACTCTGCTTGGCATCTTACCTCCATTCTCAAGATGGAGGCAGATGCGTGAGTGCCGCTAAAAGCTTGATGATAGATGCTTGAATGGAAGATGCTTGAGGGGTAGATGCTTGATGGAGAAGCTATGATGGTAGATGCATGCTTGTAGATGCTTTGATGGTAGAATGCTTGATGGTGAGATGCTGAGGGCATGCTTGATGATAGATGCTTGATGGGTAGAGATGCGTGAGGGTAGAATGCTTTGATGAAAGGAGTGGCTATTGCGATGGTAGATGCTTGAGGGAGCATGCTTGCTGGTCGAGCTTGATGGGAAGATGCTCTGAGGGTAGATGCTTGAGGGTAGATGCCTTGAAGTGTATATGCTTGATGGTATATGCTTGATGTTAGAATCTTGATGGTAGATGCTTGATGTAGATGCTTGATGGTAAATGCTTGATGGTAGATGCTTGATGTAGATGCTTGAGGGTTAGATGCTTGAGGTAGATGGCCTTGATGGAAAATGCTTGATGTAAAATGCTTGATGGTCAGATGCTTGAGGTAGATGCTTGATGGTAGATTCTTGATGGTAGATGCTTGAGGTCTCTCTGGTCTCTCCCTGGTCTCTCTCTCTGGTCTCTCTCACTGGTCTCTCTCACCAGTCTCTCTCTGGTCACTCTCTGGTCTCTCACTGTTCTCTCTCTGGTCTCTCTCTGGCATCTACCTCCATTCTCAAGGATGGAGGCAGATGCTTGAGGTCTCTAATGCTTGATGATAGATGCTTGATGGTAGATGCTTGAGGGTAGATGCTTGATGGTAGATGCTTGATGGTAGATGCTTGATGGTAGATGCTTGATGATAGATGCTTGATGGTAGATGCTTGAGGGTAGATGCTTGATGGTAGATGCTTGATGGTAGATGCTTGAGGGTAGATGCTTGATGATAGATGCTTGATGGTAGATGCTTGAGGGTAGATGCTTGATGGTAGATGCTTGATGGTAGATGCTTGAGGGTAGATGCTTGAGGGTAGATGCTTGATGGTAGATGCTTGATGGTAGATGCTTGATGGTAGATGCTTGATGGTAGATGCTTGATGGTAGATGCTTGATGGTAAATGCTTGATGGTAGATGCTTGATGGTAGATGCTTGAGGGTAGATGCTTGAGGGTAGATGCTTGATGGTAAATGCTTGATGGTAAATGCTTGATGGTAGATGCTTGATGGTAGATGCTTGATGGTAGATTCTTGATGGTAGATGCTTGAGGGTAGATTCTTGATGGTAGATGCTTGATGGTAGATGATTGATGGTAGATTCTTGATGGTAGATGCTTGATGGTAGATTCTTGATGGTAGATGCTTGCCCTGTCTTGAGGCTGTTGAGGGCGTCCTCCACCCCCTTCTGGTTGTACTTGACCATGTGGGCGTGCATCTCGGGGTAGTTGCTGCGGATGTTCCTCTCCGTGGAGCCGTTGGGGACCGTCCCGAAGCGGAACGGGGGGTACTGCTCCTGCGGCTTCTGGAACTGAGGCAAAGAACCGGAACGTCAGGAAGCAACACACACACAGACAGACACACACACACACATATACAGAGACACAGACACACACACACATACAGAGACACAGACACACACACACACACACACACACACA